TGATGAATTTGGTCGCGCAGCCATTTTCCAAGATGAACTGAGTGCATGGGCGTCAAATAACACACACACGACATTCCATTCCATAGAGTGTGCGTTGATTCATGCTGGCAGGAAGGGTGGAAGATGCCATCAACAGAATTGCAAGTTCAAACCTTCGAATGTTTTGCAGGAAATGAGACGCAGACGGAAGTCGACGCAGATTTCGGAGGAGCGACGACAGTTGAGTTTTCAAATTCGAGCGCTGCACAAGCGGGAATGTAAATCATGGAGGTCACAACGATGCACGCAGTTTTTGAGACAAGTCAGAAGTTGGAAAGGGCTGGGCAACATACAGTTCAATTCCCGCAGGGCAACAGCGACACCCCCGGCAGACGATTTTGCAGACATGTTGTCCAACTTGTTTTTGGGCATGGAGATTATGCCAGTCAGACCGGCTCTCTTGGAAGATGACTTGTTCACTTTTCAGGAGCTTGAGAGGGCTATCCAAAGCTTGAAACTGAATAAATCATGTGACGAGTGTGGTCTGGCAGCGGAACTTTTGAAGCACACACCTCATGCATTGCTACAAATTTTACTGGAGTTGTTCAGCCATGTTTTTGTCACAGGTGATGTGCCAAGTACATGGCGGAGAACTCTGTTTCGAATGCTGGCCAAAACAAGCAAAGCACAAATTGTTAGCGATTTTCGTCCGGTCGCAAATCTGCACTTGTTGTACAAATTATTCTCGTACATGATCCTTCACAGAATCGAGCCCGTGCTGGATATTTGGGCAGCCGGAGGAACAATTGGGTTTCTGGCGGGGTCGTCGGATGGAAGAACATTTGTTGACAGCAAATCTGGTTGTTGACAAAAGCCGCGCCTCCAATGTACCCTTGTGGATTTTAAGTTTGGATCTGTCAAAAGCTTTTGATAGAATCGACTGGGGGGCATTGTGGCAAGCTCTCCGTGCTCAGGGCGTCTCAGCCCAGATTATTTGGATATTGCAGTGCATGTACTTCGGACAGCATGGTGTAGTAATGTCGTCTGTCGATTGTAGCAAGGAATTTCACATCCGAGCTGGCGTCCGACAGGGATGTGTGATGAGTCCACACTTGTTTTGTGCAGTATTGGAATGGGCCATGCGGGATTGGAAGGCGCATGGTCATGGATTAGGAATTGTATTGCAGGAAAATCAAAATCCCCTGGTGGATCTGAGATTCGCCGATGATATTTTGATGTTTGCCGCTTCAGTCGAACAATCCCTGGACATGTTGCGATCTCTGGTTGATGCTCTGCGGAACGCGGGCCTTATCCTGAACGTATCGAAAACCAAACTGTTGACAACGCAAGCGCAGCCACCTGACCATGTGTGGTTGGACGTGCAAACCAAAATCGACGTCATTCGTACGCAGCCCGCGCGTTCTGGGCCAACAAATGGATTTTGTGTGACAAGCACGTGCCAATCGAGTTACGCATCAAATATTTCGAGGCCGTTGTCACACCGGTTGCCTGTTTTGGAGCAGGGCATCGGAAGATTTACCAACATCAACTTCACAAATTCGATGTGGAATGGCGACGATTGCTACGTACTTTGTTGGGTCCCCCGCCGGGACTGGCCTGGAACATGCCGTGGCATCAGATTTTGCACAGCTGGAACAGACGCGTCCTTGATTTCAGTGAAAGATTTCACCTGCAAAGTTGGTCTGAGACATGTCTTTGTCAGTACTGGAAATTCGCTTCGTACGTTGCAAGTTTGCCATCCAGAACCTGGGTCAGACGTGCTCTGGAATGGTTTCCAACTGGCACTCGTGTGGGCAGACCACCAAACACTTGGTGCACGCAACTGGAGACTTTTGCTCGGGTCATGGGATGGGAAGATTGGACGGCTTATGCCCAACATTCCCGAGATTGGCAACATGCATGTGATGCTTTTGTTAATTTTGCAAAGCAGTCATGTGCAGTGCTTGAAATCGAGCGCTTGCACGACCAATAGCAAATTGGAATTTCGTTCTGCGCCTGCGCCCCTGAAGGGCCGCCTACCGGCATGCAGGTTGACTGACTGACTGACTGACTGACTGACTGACCCCCACCCAGTAATAGTGATTATCAGGGATAATGGTGATTATACTAGGGCCATCTTATATTCCTATTATGCCACTATTACAGGGTGGGGGGTCCTCCTAAGATAGATAATGACCAATGAATGACAAATGAAGAAATGAGTGATAGCTCATGGTCAATAATGGTATGTGAATGATAAAAAGAAATGCATGAAAAAGAGATGAACAGATCATAGAGAGATGATGAGAATGATAGCCCCACATCATAAATAGATGAAAAATGATATAAACAGATCATACCATATGATAAATATTTGGTACATAATGGTAACAAGAACCTAAATGTTGTTTTCCAGCTTTTACCGGCTTGCAAACCTCGCAGCTTTGACAGAGCGGGAAGGAAAATTTTACAAGCTTGCAAATCTCTCAAGGTTAGGCTGCAGTTGCACCAACATGGGGACGCAATAGGGAATCAAGTGTACCAAAACAACAACAAAGGAAAAAAAAAGGCAATGCAAGCTGCGCTGAAATCAGTCGACTGGCCACAATAAACAAGCAAGTTCGGTGCCAAGTGGGCATTTGTAAAAGGATGCAAGAGGATCTTAGCCTGGAAGTTTCTGGCTCCGCAAAGCAAAAGACTGAAGGAATCAAACATCGAAATTACCCTAGCTTGTGTTCGTCGTCAGCACGCTGACAACATCAAAACCAATACAGGCATTTCAAAGCTTGTCGCGGTGCAGCTGACCTGTCTGACCCCGCAGTTGCTGGCTTACAGGAACAATGAGAAAATTTCTTGTTTTTTTTGGAATTCGATTTGATGTCTGTTTGACACAGCTGCTTTTTTTGTTGCCTGCCTGATCACGGGTCAATTGGGATCAGCTGGAGCAGGCTCAGACGCCGCATGTTTTTTCGTGGGAGAGAAAGAATGCTGAATTTTTCAATTTTTCGCAACATTCGGGTTGCATTGCTGACATAGAGGTGCCATTTCTCAAGTCAATGGCTTTGGCTCAATGCAATTCCAGTAGTTGCCTGGCATCACTTTGTGGTGCGAAACAGGCTTTGGAGCTCCCGTTGCATGTAAATGTGGTTGGCCACAGAGGTAATTACATGTGTATGGTTCGCAGGCAATGCAACACATTCTCCACGGGACTTGCCAGAGGTGGGTGCGTATGTGAAACGTGAGTGCGTTTGCCATGCAGTTTGCGGGCATTCTGGTGTCATGTAGTGACATGCTGTTTTTGCAATTGCAAGTTTGTTGGCAGGATTGACGTTCGCAGAGAGGCCAAATAGCTGTTTTCTGCAGCATAGTTGTTCCATGTTGTTCCGAAGCAATTGTGAGGTGGGGTCAATGCCCGGGGATGCAATGGTGCATTCACCTGTGGCAGATCGAACGCTGAAGAAGCAGGTGTCGTTGGAAAACACGCTTTGACCGAGCAATTGTGCAGATTGTGCAGCAACCTTCGGCAGTGTTGAGTCCAGGTGGAATCCCCAACTACTCCACACGGTCAGGGTCCGAACATGTTGCCACTGCGAGCTCCCACGCAGGGACACAGCCAAATTGGCCGTAGCCGACGCGCATTTCCAGGTCCTGGCAATGCCCCGACGCCTGGTGTCTCCACACCAGAAGTCACAACGCCTCTCTGCATTCAATTGATTCGACTCGTTCTGGTGAAATGTTTGTTGGTGTTTGGGCAAGGTTAGCACCGAAACCCTGTCGGGTGTATCCCAGTTCTCCTGGAGGCCTCCAACGTGTTGCAATGTGTTGCCGTGTTAACTGTTAGCCGAGCATGGAACCTGGACTTAGCCTGCTACCAGATTCACTGCCAGGTTTTAGCATGCCGGATGATGCGGAATGCAGTCAGGAGACTTGCAGTGCTGCAGTTTTGTCATCGCAGTAGTCGTCGGTGGACACAATTTTTTTCTTGATTGTAAGGAGTTGCGAGCCGTCTTGCGCGGTGAGGCATTTGCCGGTCTTGAATTGTTGTTTTCTCCGGTCAAAGGCTACTAGAATTGGCATGGTAACAGGCCCACCAGCAAATACTTGATCATGGAAAAGACATCTTGCAGCTGGCAATGCAATTGGCTGTGGGTTATAGTTGATGCATCTTCAGGGCATGCATTCCGGGATAGATAGAGTCCGAGGCAATCGTCGTCTGGCTCTGACCTCAGTTGAATAGTATTTTGGTTGGGGATACAACGGCACCTAATATAAAGCAAGATCATGTCCTCCTTTTGGGTATGGTATTTTAAGTAGTCTATATAAAGAGTATAAGCTTACTAGTTCAACTTCCACAGCAACGATATTCAGTCACCATGCGACGACAACCTCCTGCAAATACGAATGGGTAATTCAGCAACATGTGCAGGCGAAATCCATGTCGACCACAACCGTCCGCTGAGCTCAATCAGCACCAGCTGCAGCCCTGACAACTGACAACACTACCAAGACCTGGTTTCGGCAGTTTGCACATGAGCAGCATGAGGTGCTGGACCAACTCCGAGCCTCGAGCTATGAAATTGCTCTGGTAAGTTTTTCGGGGGTGGTTTTGGCACGGTGTAAGTTAGGTTTGGCATGATGAGGTCCCGACGGACGGACGAGCCCCAATTTCACTCCAGCCATCGCAATTGGTGCCCGGCGTAATGCAGCTTCAAGCAGAGCCCGGACGCTGCAAAACAGCAGTGAGAGCTCAGCTCAAGATTCCAAGGCCAGTGCCGTCTGTCGCCTCGTAGTGCGATTTGCTGCGCTTTTCATTCTACCTGGGCAGTGCTTGCCTGCATGCATGTACGATATGTCATCGATGTAATATGTCCTTCCTTGCTGACATTTTTCTAGCGTGATCTCTCTTTTCCTCCAGCAGGCGTTCCCCACACAAGTTCGGAAAGTCTTCGTGGGCGGGATACCCCAGGCGGTTGTCATGCAGACATATGGTGATCGGTCAATGACTCACGAGCACAATGTAGGACATGCAGCAAGAAGATTTGCTTAAGCTGTTCAGCGAAACAGTCGCCGGCTCCTCTACCATTCGTCGACCCATTAAGAGCGAGCATGTGGACACGTTGCATCCTGAGGGTCCAGTCAAGAAGGCTTGGGTGCAGTTGAAGACCCAGCTTCGACACCACAACTCACTCAAGCAGTTCCCTTCGGAAGCCAAGGCGTTACAGGGACGCCACAAAGGTGAAGTCTCCAACCTCGCACAACCACCGCGGTCCTACGCTTACTGTTCCGTGAACTACTGACCTGGCAACATGGACTTTCAAAAGGAGGTGCTGATTGTTTGCTTTGATGAATTTCTTGGATCATGTGACGCAGAAAACATGACAACTCAGGAAGGGGGATTTCCTCTAAACTGTAGGTGCATAGCAGTACGAATGCGTGATGACGCAGGTTTCGGCTTCGTGATTTTCCAAGAGTCCAACGCCGTAGACCGATTCCTCGGCTTGGAGCTTGGCATGCTGAGTTTTGAGATGGCTGTAAGCTTTGTAAACTGCTCTTCATCTTGTCGGCTGTTGCTCGCGTTCAGGTTCCGATGTGTCCAAGTTCATTCCTGTGAGAGACGGCCGCAAGTTAGAAGTAAAGCGAGCCATTAGCAGCTGCATCCTCAGAAGCCGCACCGCATGGTGAACGTGATTCAGTTTATGTGACTGCAGCAGGTACCGACATGCCCACTGATGGTTTGAGGCAGTGGGAATAAATTCATGTGTCCGGAGTTGAAGACGAGGGCTGAGCAATGCAGGCGTGGGCCGGAAGAGTCTACTAAAGGACCGGAAGTCAGCTTGCGGCCCTACTCGTGTAAAGTCTGGGTTGCAGGACGTGCACTGCATCCAGCAGAAGCAGCCAGTATGTCCATGCCACCAAAAAACCCTCAGAGAAACGTCTGCAGCTCAGAGTCCTTGCTATCCTCATCATCACCTGCTGCTGCAGCACTGAACCCCTGCCATGGTTTTACTTTAGCACACTTTTGAGACTCCGCCATGCTGAAGGGCAGTTGCAGCGGTCCACAGCCTCCGGCACCACGAGCAGATGGATGTGGAGGCTGTGCCTGCATCGACGACATGCACCACCATGAGGTATTGGAGTGATGTACATACAGAGCTTTGTCTTTGGCTGAGGCGCAATGGCCACGTCAGCTGCCGGACAAAGTTTTGGGAGCATGGTGCAGCCGATGCGCCCAAGCTGAAACATGAGATTCTTTTTCAGCATGCTACGGTAATGCGCGGTGCCCTCGCCTGGGAAGGTCGGGCATCATGATGCCCTCGCCAGGGATGATTGTTGCACCCCGGCTTCCTGCTTTTGATCACATGCTGCCGCTTCTCTTAATTGAATGGAAGCTGAGTCCCAAGCATCACCGTCACCATCTCCATGGCCAACCATGGGTGGCGAACATCAGCAATCCATGACGCAAGGGCCCCAAGCTCTTACAAATGCACCGAGCTCCCTCACTCTGCAAAGGTCCCCAGACTTGTGAGCTAGAAGCCATCTGACTCGAGGCCGCCTCCACACGTTCCGCCTGTGATGCCAGCTGTTGCCGGCGTTCAGATGGCTGCCTGGCAGCAGCTCTCAATCAGATCTCCTGCTATCCTGTATGTATGTGTGTGCACCAGAATCTGCTGCCTGCCTTTTTTTGTCATGCTTGGTGCTCGGGTGTAAGGCTGCGCCAGCAGTGCGTGCTCAAGCAGGAGTGGTTATGCGGCCTTCTCGGAATAGTCGGAAAGTGAGTGATGACATGCCCTCCCAACTCGCGTATGTGCTGACATGTTGGGCGGCTCAAGGCCAGTTCCGCAGCACGCGCATGCAGGTTTCATGACGCCCCTGCCTTGGGAAGGAAGGTCGCGCAGACGTGGAGAGCATCTCTGCTGACTGACAGGTCTAGTCAGCACGCACCACCACTGCAGATGGCTGTCTCACCTGTTCCTGGAATGTGGGCGCCTTCAAATGTCAGCCGTGTTAGTTATCTCGGACACAAGTCGGCCTGCAGCCAATGCTGCTGCATTTGGACAAGGCCTTGCCACGATGGCATGTGCAACGCTTAGATGGGTACATTTTTGTTGTACAAGGTGTCAAAGCAAGCGCGAGTTCCAAATACTGCAACGCCGTACCTTCAGGCCGCCACCATCTCAGCCTTTCTACAGTGCTTGCAGTGCTTGGGCTCCATGGGCAGCTGCTGGGGCCGGAGCCTGACCGCACACTTTGCATGTTGTACGTCTGAGCCACAGCTTGTCTGCTTTTTTGGTAAGGCACCTCCGTACCGAGCTGAGTGCGTTGGGGATGGAGTGGCCATTGCAGCACGCAAGCATGAGACGCCGATCCACCTGCGTGCTGTCAGCTCAAGTGCGGAGGCCGATGCCAGTTCCTGCTGCAGCATTTGCGCAGCCCTCCCAGAAAACGGGTGAGTAGTGACAGGATTTCAGCGGATGTCAAATCAGCCTTTGACTCGGTAACATGGTGCAAGTTGGAGCACGCGCAATATCAATTCACTCAGCCTCTCGCATACCCTGAACTTCAAAGCTTATAGCATGAGATCAGATCACACAGAGTTTGAATGAATTAGGGGAAAAGCTCCCACATCAGGCTGGAGAAAGGGATTTTGCAAGGAGGTAGGCACAGCTCACAGATCTTCTCCCTTACCCTGGAGGCCCTCTTCCATGAACTGTATGCCAAATCACGACTTTTCGGGGAAAACGAGTGGGTGGTGTTATATTGATGGTTGCCTGCTATGGTTCTTCTCGTGGAAGGTACTACAGGGCGTATACCCGTGGTTTCTCTTTCCGCAAAAACCAAGCTTTGCAGCATCTTTTCTAACTTCAACGCTGGCAATGCCTGGTGAGCACACCTCCACTGCGACCTCCAATCTACCGGCCAAAGGATGAATGGTATTCCCGATTGTGTGACTTCGCTGAATTCCATCATGTTTCCCACTTCTGCCGCATTGCCGCAATGGAAATCTGATACTCGGGATCGCTGGTCACATCTGTTCACCTGTGGGGTGACCTGGTTTAACGGCACTCTTATGTATCAGGAGGATGGCCGTACACACTTCAAATGGCTGCAGCATGAACATGGATGGATGAAACACGCGGAGACGGGTCCCTGGATTCTGGCTATACAACAAGCCACGGTAATTGGCAAAACATGTCGCAGGCATAATGTACCCGATCTTTTGTGTTCAGCTCTTCGTGTCTATTGGCATGTCCAATGATACCGAACTCGACATGCAACAAGTCATCAGCTTTACTCCAAAGAATCGCAGTATCGTGATGTTGTTCCTGTTGCCTACTTGAAGGAAATATCAATTGTGCACTGATAATCATGTAGTTCACTGCTTCAATTGAGTGGTGACTTGGCCGGGCTCCAAGAGCGACTGGACTGCCCGGCTACGCACAGCAGCTGACGAACCCCAGTCTGCGGGAGAGAGGGTTTAGTTGAGTTGCGCTGGCAAAAGGCCGCAGATGAGCCACATGGTGCAGACCTTAGAGGGTGTGGAGGGGGGTTTGGGGTCTTCCATGAGTGTTGTTCAGGCCTGGCCGGTTCAGAATCCGCAGGTGCCACAAACACAGCCATCGGCCCAGCAAGGACTTGTTCAAACAATGCTTCAGCTCACTACAGCATGTCCCGCTAGTTAAAAGTTAGCACGTAAGAAGTCCAGAAAAGAACAATTCTTGAATGCTTTGGATTGTACATTAGCCAGGGGTGAGCATTTTGACAAGCGGCCTCGAACTTGAAACCGGCCCAACTGTTCGACTTTTGGCATGGAGTCGCCTGGGAGAGGTGAAGGATAATTGTGGGAGTGCTGCACTATGCTGCACTGAACTTCATCAATGCAAGGTTTGCCGCTAGCTGACAAAAGCGTTTCCTAGTACGCGGCTCAGACCACCTATGACTGTTTTGCAGTTTGTCCAAGCGATCTCGGACGCTGCTTGGCTGTTTGGAGGCTCATGATGTTTCAACTGCAGGGCACCGCGGCTCAAAAAGCATGATCCTTCGATTTTGAGAGAGCAATGGTGCGGCAAGAGGATGTGGATAACTTATTTGCCAAACCTGGGACAGTGCGTCACTTGCCTGAGTAAGTGTGCTTTCCATCTGCGAGTTCACTTTTTTTTGGAGATTGGGTTGAATGGTGGTGAACATAGTCTGCCTATGTGAAAGACGCTGAGGACGGCACTGCCTTCTGTTGAGTGCCTGTATAGTTTTCGACGTTACCGTATACCCGTTGATGATATGGTTTCTCTTTATCGATGTCCCAGCCTTCCTGCAGCTGAAGCCTCAGCTGGCTTCCTCCATCCAGATTCATAGTTTGGAGGTGTTGCATGTGCTTTTGCCATTTGCCTCAGGGCCCCTCCGCGTGAGGAGGACGAACGCATGTTTCTGTTCATCAAGCTTGGAGTTCCTAGCCCAGTGTGTGGAAATGCTGTTGTGAAGCCTTTAGCGGCCTGGCTGGTCGTTTCAACTCGAAAGCAGAAGCCATTCTCAACGGGAGGCTGTTTGCGGCTTCACGTTCGTGGTCTGCATGTACCAGGTGATATTGTTTGATTTGTTTGGCCAGCATTGCTCGCGGATGCGTGTCTCAACTGCCTTGGGTGACTGCCGTTGAGATTTTGAAGCTGCAGACCCTGCCACCTTTCGGCATCAAGGTCAAGCCTTGTCCATGGAGCGGAAACCAGTACCGCAGACCAGGGTGGACGATGCTGCCAGCAAGCATTTTGAAGCTTGGGACGTGAGGCCTGGACGACGAAAGTCCTGGAGTCTGGTGCTTTTGCGTGTGCTCCTTCATTGCTTTGTCGTCCCAAAATAATCTGAATTTTTGCAGAGTACATGAGCAACATGAGCAGCCCAGCGGAGCATGCCGGCCTCATGGAGGGTGGGGAATTCGAACATCGTGGTCTTGCTTGCAGCGCAGCCTCTAACCATATTCTCAGGCCTGATGATGCCGCAAGCCTTGCTGGTCCTCCAGAAGAAGCATTGCGGCATGAAAAGTGGTGTGTAACCCACGATGTATGGAATCATGCTGTGTGTGGCTTCTGTTTCGGGAGCTCAGGACAGTGTTATGGCCCTTCCTGGGGCATTATATCCGCAGCATTTAGGCATGCCATCCATCGAAGAAGCACCCGATGGCACTGTGGTTCAGATGGTGCCTTGCGTATAAGATGCGTGCACATAAGTGGTATTTGGCAGTTAGTGTCAAGGGTATGCTTCTGAGCATCTTTTGGCGAGCTGGCGGGTTGTGACAGAATCTCATAGGTGGCACCGTTCCAGAGCAGAACTATGTCACGCAACCCGCCGGGAATGGCCGGGGACGAGCGGGGACGAGTTTCTTGGCGAGACAATGCGAACCAAGCAAGCCTGATAGATTGCATTGTTCGAGCGATCTCAACACTTGTGGCTTGATAGAAGGGGTGTGTCGTTTTTGAGCTGATTTTATTAGAGAAGGCAATGGCACATTTCTTGCCCAGAGTTTCTGTATCACCAGTGCCAATTCTACTGCTGAAGAGCTACTGCATGAATTATTGTTTGGCACCTGCAAATGTCCCCGGACTGGCTTCTGGACAACTGTTGCAATGTTGCGGCATCTTGTGGTGAAAAGTACTGCAACTAAGCACAAGCAAGAGTGGTTTGAAGTGCTTATGCCTGGGCGGTCAACACGGGCCGAGTTGCCGGCTGAGGCTCATGCTGTTGCCAGCCGCAAATATCACTCCGAGGGGGGCGACACCGTTGCCCACTTGCAGATTTGAAAGGAATGTGCTGAGAACTCGATCACAAGTACGGCAGCATCCGGTTAGTGTAGTTTGTGTATAAATCCTTGGGCCTACCTGGCTTAATTGAGGCTGCGCGAGCTCTACACAGCTTTGTGCCTGAGGGTGGTGCAGATGCACTACAAGGAACATTAGAGCCTTTTCTGCACTTCGCAATCCTTCGTCGTGTGTGCAGATGTCTGCAAGAAATTTGACAGCAGATGTTTGATCCGTAAGGATGGGCGATGTTATGTTTGCTCAAGTTCTCCAGGGATTGCACCTCGACTTTCAGAAATGGGAGGTGAAACAAAGCAGCATTGTCAAAACTGTCCTGACTTTGTCCAAACCATTGATGTGCTTTGAGGTTGGCTTGGTTTCGGCTTCCTGCGGGCATTTGGTTTGTAACAGTTGCATCGTCACGACGAAGAAGGGTAGCACTTGCTTGCATCTTGCCTGGACAAGCTCAGTCATTTAAGCTCCCAGTTTCCCGGATTGGGAAGCAGCTGATGTGTTTGGTATTGTTTGTGAGGAGCTGTAAAGCAGCTGCGCTGGCCTTAGATCTGTACCAATATCTACCAGCAACTGTTCACCATGCTTTGTATGCACGTCGTATACATGCTTGCAAGAACAGGCTGGCAAGTCTAACGAGAAGACGGTGTCCTTCGACAGGGAGACAGTCTTCACATACATCAAGCAGACTCCAGTGCAAACTCCCAGATGAGAGCCGGCGAGTTGTAGCATCAAGCTAGGCTCAGGTACGGCGAGCGCAACACGTCAAGTGTTTGTGTCCGTCCCCTGCCTAGCGATCTCTGGCACATTGTACCATATTAAAGGCAACGCCCTTGCACAGGATATGTAGAGTAGCATGCACTGAAAATCGGTGCAACAGTCATGGAGAAGCATGCTGGAACTTTCTGTCAGATTTGCCACCTGTTTTCATATGTGTATGGTACTATGCTCACATTTGTTTACTACGAGGTCTTTCCAAGTTTCACGGTTCCAGCAGGTTGCCGCCTGCCGGAGGCCTCACCGAATACTCATAGGGCCAACTTCAGGCAAGATCCTGATTTTAGTCCACAGTTTGCACGCGAACGTTCGCATGAGTTTGTGGCTTTCTCGTCCTGTCTGGCCCTCAAGACTGTCTGGGCGACACCACGCCACAACGTGGCATGTGGTGGTTGGGGCTCAGAGGATGGCAATCAGCAATCGCCTGCAAGCTGCAAGAGTTTTTCCCTTTTCCTCTTAGTTGCACACCGAAAGCAGCCCACCGCGCAGCCTGCGCTGGCAGCGGCAGCCAAAGGCTGCCGCTGCCAACTTGAGACGCTTTCTTTGGACACACGTGAAGCCTTCAGCCTTTCAGCCTCAGTCTGCTCAGTCTGCAGACCTTGCCACTGGTCTATTTTCTAGGCCTCTAAGCGTCTTAGCCAGGGCTTGAACCTTGCAATTCCGTGGTTTGTGAGGCATAGTGTACAGTGACACGGCTCGTGCGCCAAGTGGAGTTTGTGCATGCTCATACGCGGCATGGCACAGCCTTAGGCTTGCCAAGCCAGTGAAGACTACACATACACTTCTTTCGCCGAAACTATGTAAAAGCAAGCTGTCTTACTGTCTGATAGTTTGCAAGCTGACTAGCTCTTCCTCTTCACGTCTTGACATTTGAGCGCCTATGTTTTTACATGGCAATAGCAGTGCAGTCTGGAGGTGAATTTCTAGCTTCATGCGCGATGTTGAGACCTCAAATGCTGCTTGTGCGTGTGCTTGACTTTTTTAGAGCGAGGTGGGAGATGTGTCGCCCACTAAGGCAGAAATCTTTCCTAGTAGCCTGGCTGAGATATTCGTTCGTCTTGTGGGTCTGTCGGCAGATCTTGATCACTGAGGCTCCCACTTGCACAGATGAAGTTGCCAGATCAGTCTGACGTGCTGTGCCAGACTGCAAAAGAGCTTGCCGTGTGCTTGAGATGAACGTGGGCATCGAATGCAAGCTCATATTGTCATCGACACGCTTGGCAGAAGTGTGGTGTGCCTGCTTTGTATTGATGGCTTTGGAAAAATCCGCGTTCGGTTTGCAATTGCAATTTTCCAAAAAAGAAGAAGTGACACACTTAAATTTCAGAGACATCCACTAAACTCCTACCTTCGGCTTGGATTGAAAGGACTGATGCGGGAAACTTGGGAAGGGGCGCTTGTGAACACCATCCCCAGTCGCTTTGCAACAGAAAGGATGCGCTGGTCTAGTGAAACTCATGAAGGGATACGTTTTTAAAGCTACCCTATTTGCTTTACAATAGAAACTCATGCAACTGAAAGAACCCAGCAGTAGAGGGAAACTCAACAGCACCAGGTAGCAAACCAAAGCCTAAACCCTACAATAAAAATTCTGCTTGGATCATCGTGCTAAAACGAACGCCTGCATAATCCTCCCTCTGTTTTCTAGCCAGCCATACACTTCAAGAAACACCAGGACAATGCTTTGCAAACTAGATCAAGCTTGGCAATCAATGGCATATTTTCAGAAATCGCGGGGGGAGGGGGCTCTGCGCCCCCACCAGCCCTATACACTGCCTGGCCACTCGGTCCTATTGTATGACGTTCTATCAAAACCCACTCAATACCTTCTTGTTATCATCATCATCATCATCGTCATCGTCAGTATCATCGTCATCACACTCATTGAGGAGGACTTCGAGATGACATGGTGAAGCATACTCGATTCTCGCCAAGACCCGAACAAGCGCAGCTGAACCTCTTTCGGCAGTCAGGGTAGAGTTCACCCTCTTTTGTTTTGGCACGTGGTATTAGTGTCGCATTCCAGTCAGCTTGTTTTTCACCTGACTGCGGGTCATGCCTGTTTGCGTATTGATGAGAAAGGCTGACCGTGTGTACACCCTGATTGCCAATTCCAAGGGATTTGCACGGAATTTTACCAGCCAACCTTGCAGGGGCATCAGGCACAAAGCACCTACCTGACGCAATGAAGCTATGATGCATTGGGCTGCTTTATTTGAACTGCTTCTTGTCGCGGTGCAATGGTTCATACTCTGGACTAGCACCTAGTGTTCATCCTCCTACTCGGAAGTGTGGTAAATTTATACTTCGCCATACAGATGACCAACCGCTTCAGCGCAAAGATTTTCAGCTCCTTGGTTGGTGATTTCGGATGTCAGTCCCCTGTTATTCTAGCGGACATGTACTGCCTCATTTCTAGTCCTATGATTATATTGCTATTTTTGTCAGGCGTCGAGAGCCATTTTTTTGTATGGACCGTTCGCTCGAAACGTACAGGTTAATCCCTGTCTCCGTGTGTGTGACATTGCTTGTAAGACACCAGCTGGGTAAGCTGCCCTTCGTAGAGCTTCTGCGGTCAGGAATCACGGAGAAGAAAGCCTCAGGGTCCTGGGAATTGTGTTGTTTCGGCCCGTGCCCACCCTTGACTCCTCGGCGCTGGCCAGTAACGCCAGACATCAGTTGCAGTTGTATAATTCAGCGCCTTTTTTTTTGCTCCAGCTCTATTTCTACAGGGGTATTGACCCACCTGCATTTTGTGTGGCTGCACCTCCATGCAGTTGTGGCACCGGTTTGGTGCTGACCATGTTTGAGGGGCACCCGCCTCGCTCCGTTGGCCAATTTTGCTCCGTCAAGCAATCGATATCGCTCCCCGTCGGTACCTTCCACCTCCATCTCTGGACAGATCTCGCTTCCCTCTTTTCTGCTGTTCTCTCCGTCGACTGATCCCGCTCACCTCTTGCGCCTTGCACTTGTTTTCGTCCACGGATCTCATTCCCCCTCTCTCATCTCGCTCCCCTTGGCTGCAGCAGCCAAGCGATTTCCATTTTGCCGTGCCTTTCTCACTCTTCGTGGCCGGGTGGGCAACGGAAGAGACGACTCTTGCATTCGGCATTCGCAAGTGCACGATGTGCACAGTTTGTGGCCGTTTCGGCCTTTTCGGCTCAGATTGGGAATGAAGTTCCCAACTTCTCTGACGGAGGTTGGAGCTCTGCAGTGTGGGAACCCCAGTTGTTTCCAAGTTCTTGCTCCTGATAGTGCAGTTTGTGCAGGATTCTTAGACAGGGGCTGGCAGCAGAATGAGCTTTCGGCGCCGCGTCCTTACACGCTGGAATTGCTGTTTAGCCTTTGGATTGGAGGGATGAACCTGAAGACATTCCCGCTCAAGCTGGCAATCATGGAAAGTCTGGCGGTGGGGACACGATTGCTGTTGGTCTGCCCGCCTGAATGCGAGGGTTGTTTGTCTGTTTGTCTTGTTTTTCTCTGGCCTGGCCTAGTCTGGTATGTCTGGTCTAGTCTGTATGTATGTCTCTCTTTCTCTCTCTCCTCTGTCTCCCTCTCTTTGACTGTGATTGTGTTTGCGTTTCGTATGTTGTGTGCGCGGCTAGCTGAGGCAGCCAGAAGGCAGACGGCCGCAGACGGAGTGGAGGAGCGACACAGCGCCTGACATGATGCCTGGAATTCTGAAGCAAGCTATGTGTGGACTCATTCGACAGCACCTCATGCCCTGTCTTCCTGTAAGGGGATTCATGAGAAGGACGGTGTTCAAGCTACGGGAGGGCTTCCTGGCTAGATGAGTCACACATCGGCCTCGTTCAGCCTGACCTGTTGCATCTATAGCTGGTCTCGAGTGAGGAGCCCCGTGAAAACAGAATTGCATGAGCAGTTCTGGGACCATGGTCAGGATTCCAGAAACCTTGGCTCTGGGAATGTAGACCAACCCTGAGCCATCTCGTAACATTGCAGCATCCAAGGTTCTGCAGCACATCCTAGGGAATGAGCCTCACAGCTTCGCACAGCCTGAATCCATAGTGCAACCCGGATAGGTTCTGCAAATTTCTAACAGCAGGGGATGTGTCAAATCCAAAGGATAGTAACTTTCCAGTGTCTGCGTGATTCTTGTGCCCCTCGAATGTTGCCTAGCTTTAACATCTTTAACAGCCAGCAGAGCTGTGTGGCGAGCTGCTCCTCCTGGAGCTTAGGGACGGCTTGAGAGCAGTGGCTAGCTGCATGAGCCAGCCGGTGCTTGAGGCACGGAGCGAAATGTAAGTTCAGGTTGAGTTTCTGCTGCTATGCTGGTATTGCTTTCCTACTTTCAGTCTTGGTCAGCCGACAAAAGACTTTCTGCGAACCTGTGTATGCAGACATTGGAACATGGCTGCAATAACTGCAGGCGGACCATTCGTTCCTCGTGAAAATGCCGTTTGTCTGGAATGGCAACCCAGAAAACAATCCTCTGTGCATGGAGGTAGGCACACTGTACGCACTGTGCCTGCAACTATAAGACATGTCCTCTGGCATTCAGGACACTGCTACAATTGATTGCTTACGTACATGTCAGGCCTCTCACTCTAGCAAGTTCCGACAGAAGGCATGCAATCTCGACGGCCGCGGCCTTTGCGGGAGATCATACGTGCAATCCTTCGAACATCAAGAACATCGAACCATGCCACATCCTTAATACTTTGGAAGGTAGGAAGTAACCTGTCAGACAGTGACGCTCCTGGTATCCACTGTTGCGAGTGGATTCCGCGTGCTTCGAAATATTGCGAAGCGTGAGCGCGAATTGATATGCCAATGTTCCCATGAAACGACAACCCTCCATTTTGCTTCTTGTCTTAGTCATGACGAGCTGAAAGTAAGTGGAAAGGACAATATTTGATCACGATCTGCTACTGTTTGCTTCCAAGTTACCCAATCAGGAAAACAGGTACTGTGGACCACGGGCTGCAGGAGCACCAAACGTTACATTATGAGGCAATGTTCACAGCCATTCCGGAATCCGGTTGTTCCCCTTTTCTATGCTGTTGAGTTGTTTTTGTTGGTGTGCCATTCATATTGAACCCAGGCAAGCCGGCAATTGAGTGAACTCGCTTCCAAACACATGCCCAAACCTAAACAGCTGCCGTTGCCCCAGCAGCAGAACAAAAAACGTGCCCCAACCCCAATGGCAAAACCAGCACACAGATTATACTGTCATACTTCGACATGTGGTTCTCAACGTGCAGTTAGCTGGGCGTCGTCGCTTGTCTTGGTTGTCATGTTGTTGTCTTATGTGGCCAGCTCCCTATCTACCCACACAGCTCAGGAGCAGCCTGGTTGGGACTAAAAAGGGAGTGATCCCTATGTTAAAGAGGGGAGTAATCCCTACATACGCTATGCATTGTATAAAAATGAGAGTTCCAGCTGCCGTGCAACACATGTGAGGACCCTGACAGGGCTAGAGAACTCTGACAAGTTTGAACGTCGTCAGTCGTTTTTGTCGTCTCATCGCCGTCTGATTCGTTTGACCCTTCAGCTGTCCACAAAGGATCCAAGAGTGGCCTGATGTCTTGGATCCTAATGATCCTAATGGTGGGTCCGAAGTAGTGGCCCCCAACCAGGTTACTTACACAGCATTGTCGGGCATGGTAGCTAGTCGGGGCTATGCCCCTCCTGATGCAGCATACGCACACGCACGGAAATGAGCGAAATCACGCTCATTGGTATCGAACGAATTATCACCGTAGATGTTGTCGTCGTTGCCAGTCGTCGTCAATTTCGGGGTTGTGTCCAGTCCTCTTGCCTGACCACAGGAGTGGCAAGCACTTCAGATCCATGGAGCTATAGGGTCCTGGCTCTGGCCAGACCGTGGAATGGCCATGCGCTGCTACCGGCTTTGTGCATTGCCGGGGCAGCTCGTAACACGTTCAACAGTAGTCCTGTCATCTTGAAGGCAATGTGTGAATTGGCGGATAACAGCCAAGCCATCCATCCACCCCCTGCTGGTTATTCGGGAAAGGTTCTGTTGATTGGGCATGAAGGAAAAAGGAGGAATGATGAAAGGGCAACATGAAGAAATAAAATAAACAGAACCACGGAACCCTTCGAATCTAAGGTCAGCATAAGAGTTTGCGTGTCTCATGAGGAGCCTCCTCTTGCTGCCTTTCTTTGGAATCTCACCGTCGGGCTGGACCCAGATTCCAGATTCCAGGAATGGAATTACACTTGTCATCTTTGGGCTTCAAGAATTTTGCATAGTCGTCTCAGTCAGGTAAAGTCATCATGACTTGGATGCTTCAAGCAACTGAGATGCAACAAGACAGCAACGGACCCGCGCTCTGGATACAACAGATTGGCCAATCTCCGCGGAGATCTAGTCATCTCTGCTCTGGACAAAACAGACCTGCAGCTTACTGCAAGCGGGCTACCCCGCCGCAGACAAAGATTGAGTGTAACACTTGCTCGCACAACCATGCTGACAGCCAGCGCCGGGGGTTAATACATGTCCATTAAGTCTTTGGGAAATGCCGACTGTAGGTCATATGTGAGCCAATGTGGGGCGGACTGAACCTGAATGTATCTGTCATGTGGACAGGAGCTAAGAGCCTTTGGCCTCGCGCTTATTGCATCCTGAAACTTGGAAATGTAAAAGTTTTCCCGCACTTGAAGACAGCTTGCCCGCACTGAAACTGAAAACCGACAATTTGTTTGTATTCTTGCCAGCTCGCTACTGGCCTTAAAATCTTGCCAGCTCACAGGCCTTACTTTTCTGAAGGTACACACAGTTGATCAGACTGTGCTTTCACCTAGAGGCAGCGTTTGCTTGAACATGCGCATGCCCTTGCCCCAGCAGCGAAAACAGAATGCGCCCCTTGCATCAGCAGCCAATGAAACCACATATCCCAACCTGGCCATCCTGTTCTTCACTGATTCACGTTGCGTGAAATGCCCTGGCATTTTGGGTTTGAGATGGTGGTATCGCATGGAGCATCCTGACATTGAAGGTAAGATCGCGTGGAGCGTCGTTGAGTTTCAGGTTGAAATTGTTCTACCAGGGAACGTCCTCCGAATTCGATCATATATCGCACCGATTTCGTGGACGGTCTTAGCATTCTGGCTCGGGCATAGGACATCTCATCTTACCCCCCCAGCATTCGGAGCTCCTTTTTGTTGGGGTGCGTTTTTATTTCAGAAAGTTCAGAAAGTCGCTCTCTTGCAGAGCGCTTTGGCATGTCTGCAATACAGCTCTCGCGCGGGGCATCTTCACTTTTTGGCTCCAAATCGAACCTTGATGTGATCAATCACAGTGGTACTACTGCTGTTGTTGATTTCATTTGTGTGCCAGTGCTTGGATTATGAAAGGTCGTAATGTGGTTCTACAGTTCTACAGTTTCTGTTTCAACATTAAGCTCAGGTTTAGTTGCACGACCATCATTTACACAGCTATGGTTGCTACTGCTGGCACCCCTATTTTGGTATATTGTAAGTTTGGCTGCTCCCCGAACGTACGGGAAGAAAGCACTGTGGAACCTGAGGATATGAACAAGTGTGGCCCCCCAAACTCTTCAACAAGCAAGTTCCCATCGAGATGACAAAGGTTAGTACCAGCTTTGTTGCCACTGCTGTAGTTGCTACTGGGTTACATTTTCTTATTTGAGTATTTGCACTTACCTTTCAGGTTTCGATTTACTATCACATGACAGGTGTTGTGACCATTGTGCCTGCTGCTGCTGCTGCTGAAGATGTTCTACTGCTGTTTGAGTGTGCTACTTCTATTGCAGCTTTTTGTCTTTACAAGTTCTGCTGTTTCCCAGATTTTTTGGCAATTTCAAGTACTTTTGTTATTGCTTTTACAATGCTCAGGTTTCTTATCACTTTTATTTTTCATGTTTGTATTGAGGATGCACGTGTCGTATGATTTGCTGCAACTTCTTCATGTTCCCCTCGGTCCCATCACTTTTGCAACTATCAGCTACCATTGCCTTTACTTTACCAGTAGTTGATCGCAAGGACCTACTTTGTCCGGATTTTTCAAATGGGTGCAAGGTTGCCTCCCCAATACAACTGGCCAGCTCTGACCAGCAAACCCAAAAGCTTGCAAACCCTTTACATGAAATGTCATGTAATATTCCTTGTGCATGTTCTGCTGGTGCGCTGATAGGGGGCAGCTGCGCCAGCCCAATCCCCATCGCTATTTCTTTAAAGCCAGCACTTCGCACCCTGAACCTCCTACGATGTAAAGCAATGTTTCAACAGCGCGCACACTGCCTGGCAAACCTATCAACGCTTTCCAGAAGCCTGCATGTTCTAACGTCCAAGCATGTTTTGCGCATGAAAGTGATTGACCCCCCGAACCGTGCTTGGGACATCTCTTCAAAACTCAGCAAACAGCTACTTGGTTTTGCAATGGAGGAGACGTGTCTCAACCCAACAGCCCCGCAAAAGTTCAAAGCAAGCGCAGAATGCCTAGAAAATCCCATCACGACTTTGCAAGGCTCCATGGTCTCATGTTTGTCTTGATTTTGCTTTCCATGCGCGGGCACCACGTGCCAGATGCAAGAGAGCAATTTGAAGCAAAAATGCGACGGCGTTTCAGGCGAGTGTGAGGCCGGGCCGAAGGTTGCTGTTGACCTTGCGGGTCGTGGGCTGATGCTGATGTCCTAACTGTTTTCTGCAGGATCCGGACTGGAGCGGGCATGTTTTTTGTTCTGTGGGGTCGTGAGCGGGTGAGGGATGTGGTTGAGGGGAGGGTGGAATTTGTCGTTGTTGGCTTGCCAGGGTGTGTTTGTTTTCCCTTCAGAATGCCATTCACGCGCAATTTCAGGCAGTTTGGCCGACCCTAGACTTTTGATATGTGTAGTACTTGGGGCCATGTGATCCCGATAGTTACAAGCCCAGCTTGTGTTGGAAAGCGATTGTAAAGATTATGGCCGCAGATCTCTTGACTGCAGCAGTTCCCGAGCGCATCCATGCTGGCCAAGATAATAATGTTCGTGTTGCTTGCCAGAGCATTAGTGTTTTGAGGGTTTGGGGTGCTTGTTTTTTTTGGTCTAGGATTGAGGCTGACATGCCTCCCTCTAACATGCCAAATCACTGACAGGGCCTGTAACTTCACCATGCCGCATGATTCAGCTGCGTTGTTTTGCTGCTCAGCAGGGGGGCAAATGGTCTCTTTGCTGCTGAGTGTGGGTGGGCGTGTTGTTTGGGCCGAGGAATCATGTATGTATTTTTTTTCTGTCGGGGCAGGGAGGCCAACAACAAAAAAAACCGCCCCCGCCCCAATAGCACAACCATTGCCCAGACAGTAAGAAGACACCTCGGGCAAGGCAACACACGTAATTCAAAAATGCTGTACTGACGGCGAGTGGCTTCAAGCCAGCTGGCGGCATAGAACAGAGGAGAAGATTCAAATTCTTCTCGCCTAGCATGGGCGCGCGACGGTGCTGTTGCATGCAAGCAACAATTCCCAGTGTACGGCGTTTCTTTGCGCAGAAGAGCTGGCTTCGAATATGTGACCGTCCCCGTTTCAGGAGATTTGATTCAAAGCCCTTCGCCAAGTTTCAACGAGGACAGTCATATGTGCCCTTGATTTTAGCTGGTTTGCATCCATACTTGTCTGGCTTATTGTAGTCAGTAGTGGTCTGGCAGGTGGACGCCCCCTCGACACCTTGCAAGGGTTCTTCACAGCCGAAGGAATCTCCTGGCTCATAGCATGACGACAATCCATGCATGACAGCTTCCTAGAGTTCCTAAAGAGATGACTAGCGATGCCAGGCTCTTGTTGGCAGCCCGTCGCTGCCGCCCCAGTGATCGCTGTGTCACGGATGACTGCCACATGCACATGCCTCAAAGCAAGGCCCTTATCTTGCCCACAACCTCGGCGGCCTTTTCCCATCTCACCGCATCCGAATGGTTCTCCATTGCCGGCAGCTCACTGACAGTCCAGTGCAGTCGGGTGTGCATCGCTTCTTTCGATAAGGTTTGAACAGCCTGCTCCTGAGCAAGTGGTTGCCTCCAACACAAGGGGAAGCTTCCTGCGTGATATGCTGCGAGGCTTAGTGGCGTGCCTGCTGGGACTGAAGAAGCAGCCAACAAGGCAGTGGTCAGGGCGCAAGGATGAGCTGTCCAACCACTACAATCTGTACTAGTTTGGTAGAAGATCTGAGTAGCGGTGGCGCGGCAGCGGGGGCGGGGGCGGAGTCGTTCGCAGTGGCGGTAGTGGTGGCAGTGGCAGCAGTAGCGGTACGGTAGTGGCAGTAGTAGTAGCAGTAGGAGTTGCAGTAGCAGGTAGCAGTGGCGGTGGCAGAAGCAGTTGCAGTAGTAGAAGTTGAAGTAGAGGTAGAAGTAGAGGTAGGGGTAGAAGTAGTGCAAGCTGAAGAAGTAGAAGTAGAAGCACAAGCTCCGAAACTGCGCTTCATGCCTTGGGATGCCAGACTTTTAATTTCAATTTCAAGCTGTGAATATTTTGCCAGGTATCACATTGAAGCAATGAGCGCCTGTGCCGTATCAACAATTCCCAGGAGTAACCCTGCTAAGTGCTAATTGGCCTCCCAGCCGCAATCCCAATTATGGTCTCGATTCTCAAAGCTGCCATCTAAACAGGTGCTTTGGGAGACAAGGCATATCACGCGGTCTTAATTAATAATCATGTACGGAAGATTTGCTTCATTAAAACAGCTTGTGTGGAGCTTATTGATGTGGGTTCTTACTTCCTGGAGGAGCCCAGGATTGGGGCCTAAGTCTCGGGACCGAACCCACAAGAAAAAGGAAGTCATCGAGCCTCGTATGCATTGCAAGCTGCCGTGGGAATGGATATCTCCCAATTTCTCCGTGCCATCAACTTTACGCCCTTCCTGGTGGTGGGGTTGTGCTGGAAGTCACAAAATGGAAATACTATTGACACGAACACAGTGGTTGTGGGACTTGAGTATCAGATGAAGGCTCATGCGAGTTATTGCAGAACCTGTCGTTGGGCATATTGCAAAGTGGCTATGACCGATAGTGGCGCGTGATATGCGCTACTCTTGCCGTGTCGTGTCATGCAAGGAATTGTTTGAGTGACGGATTCAGAAATTACTGTAGGACGAGGAACAGGCTCGAAGCCCTACTGTTGTACTTTGAGGACCAAAGGATTATGATTTGTTTTCCAACTGAAATTCCTTTCCTACGTTAGTAGTCTGTCTGTGTGGGGGCCTCTCCTCTGCACTGTTGTAAGGGTAAATTGGCACCTGTCAGTTAAGTGCCACAATAAGAGTGTCATGCCAGAAGTGATGGGAGTGGTTGGCTGTGCTTGCGGTGGTTGTTGTGGTATGTTGTGGTATGTTGCGGTTGTGGTTGTGGTGCTGGTGCTGGGGTGGGGGTTGCGGTGGCAGTTCTGGCGGTGGCTGCTGCTGCCAGTGCCGCCATGTCTTCTGATGTCTGCGATGCTCATACTGAAGATTAATGATGAACATGACGAGGGGTAGGAAAGTTCTAGCACAACCAATGAGTTGAAGGAGTTGAACAGCATTTGGAGTGGCACGTCTTGGAAGCTACCGACGGGCACGGGGCCAAATTTTCGGCTTTACTGAGCTTCAAACACTGCTGCAGAGCACTACCTCTTCAATAGGCTCTGCAACGCCTGGACGCTCACCCTGGGAGTTCCTAGCTCAGACGCTGGGGTCACGTGGCATAGTTCTGTGTTGGTTGTGTTGGTGTCCTCTAAGGAACAGACCTCTCAGCTCTGTCAGTACGAATGCTGGTGCAACGCCTAGTTTGGATGATCAAAACAGCCAGGAGCTCAGCAAAAAATGATTGCCTCCTTTGTGGACTCTTGATGTTCATTATTGCCCCGGAAGCCTTCAGGCCGTCTCCAGTGGCGCCTGCCCGATTTGGTGACATGTGGTGACCACGGCCTGTGGGAAGTGCATGCCAGGTTCAGCCCAGCCCCATCCTCCGCAGCCCCTACACCATCCTTGCAGGACTGCGGCTGGGTGCCCGTCTAACTAGCAATATGTCCTCTTGCACAATAACTTCACATGGCAGTGCTTTGGGCAAGTGTGCTGTGCGAGAAGCCTGCAGGACTTTGATCGGTACAAGGCTGTCCCACCTTCTCAGGCTGGCCTCATTCACCTGCTGATTTATTGATTTACATTTGGACCACAAGTTGTGTGAGAGGTGCGAAAAATTTTTGTGGGTGGCATCCCACAAGATTTCACCCAAGATGACCTGTGTGTCGGCAACTTACTTGTTTGTGCTGGAGGGGCGAGCTCCATCAAGCCTTTTTGCGCTGCTGTAGCCTCGTAGGAGTTGTTCAGCCAGTATGGAATGGTCACGAAGGCGCTCTGCCTGTCTCTATCTTTCTCTTTGGGCCTTTGCGTTGTGCTGAAGGCATGGCTGCAGCGGCACCGCCAGGCTGACCATGAATTTGGGGTGCTTGGCTTAATTTTCAATGCAGGCCAGAAGGCAATTTTAGAGTGTGCTGAGCCGTGGAGCGTCTGAATGTTTATCAGAAAGGGGTGGCGCTCAGGCAACAGCTCAGCGTTCTCAAAGCCATCGTGGCTTTGGATTCGTCATTTTCCAGGATGCCAGCATGGACGGGCTCTGAGAGCGTCGAAGTGAACCACCAGACCGAGTAGGATGGTAATGAGGTGGACGACCTCCTCGGTCCGGAAACTTCTTGCTTTCTGGAGATCAAGGAGCAGATTCTGAGAGTTTAGGGTTTGGAGACCTGCGGGGAGCTGTCAGGATGGGCGTCGCATTGAAATCAAGCGGGCCAAGAGCAGCAAATTGCCTCGGAAGTCCTGTTGCTAGGGCTGCTTTAAACCTTCAATCCTGTACCTCAGAATTAAGATGGGAACTGACACTGCGTGCCAGACATCTTCTCAGGCAATGACATCATTGGCGAGAGACAGGTATCGCATCCAGATGTGCTGTGACCTCATGCTTAAGCAGTCACGGTGTCGCCTGCCACTTACACATGGCGCATGAACACTAAGGTCGAAGCCAGTGTGGTCTTGCAAGCCGCCGTTGGCTCATATTGGATCATATCAGCAGGTCCAGCTGCTTGCAGTCTCCTTGTTGTCTCGAGGAGTGGCCAGCAGCTTCAGTGGCAAGCTCATTCTTGCCTCCCCAGTATGTGAGAATGGAGGCATCTGCAAAGCAGCACCAGGTCCCAAACACAGCAGCAACCTGTGCAAAGCGCACACTTTGTCCGCTCCCCTAGCTTTTTGTTTCTTATGCTGCGACAGTGGGTGATCGAAGAGGGTCGTGCTTTTAGTTTGGCAGCTGTAAGTGATGATTCCTTTGGGCTAGCGCTTCACTGCAAAGAGTGGAGGCTTGACATTTAGATGGGAAAGAGAGGGCCAGGGACAGAAGACATTTGGAGCGAATATTACGTGATGTTACATGTATTGAGGATTGTGGCTTCGCAAAGCGAAATAATGTGGGGGAGACCAGAAATGCAGCAGACTTGGTGACTGACACTGGTGCAGACATAGTTTTAGGGCAGGATCGGCGATTAACTGCAGGGAGTCCAGCAGTGCAAAACCTGTCTTTATTCACTTCTCTCCCGGTTAACTCTGCAGCCAGCAGCTGCGGAGGAATCATGATTCACGGAGGTGCCCTGTGGTGCCGCTCTGCATGTCGAGCTGCAGTGGACCGGTGTGGGAAAGGGGTGTGCCTTAGCTCTTTACCTCCTCTCCTCCGCTCCGTTCGCCCTTTGCTGCTCTGGTGGCTGTTTGGCAACGTGCCATGTTTTGTTACACTTTTCTGAGTCCGTTATTTTCAGAACTATTGTGTGCGTTGGGCAGCTTGGAGTGGCCAGTGCGATCCTTGGCATGTCCTGCAGCGCAATTTCATTCAGTGGTACGCGGCATCGTCCAGTGTGGCCCAGGAGGCACTCCTTCATAGTTTGCTAGGATTTGATGGTTGCACGTCCCGCCAGCCCTGCATCCTTTCCAACATTTGGTTGGGTGCTGTCAAGCACCCTTCATTTTCGTGAGTTCAGGTGTTGGCGTTTCTCCTTTGTACACTGAACAAAATTTGTGAATATCTCTTCATGTACAGCCATGTCAACTAATCTGAAGACCCTGTATTCTGATGC